TAGGCAGTAGTAGTAGCGTTAGTGGTAGTCTTCGGCGCTGGGCGCCCATAGCCATAGCTGTAGTCTTCAGCGCTGGGCGCTAGTAGGTGGTAGTAGTGGCAGTGGAGGTAGATGGCTGGCGGAGGCCAGCGGTACTTACCTGTGGCGCCATAGCTCCAGCTCCACCTTCGAGGTACCTGCATCAAGGCGCCAACTTCACAGGTTAGTACTGGACACAGAGAGAGAGAGAGAGAGTTCTTCTTCTTCCTCCTCTATGTCYASYGTCTCTTCTTCCCCTCTCCCCACCTGACTTCTCAGTATCAGCAGGTTACTACCGAGAGAGAGAGAGTTGTGACTTGAGACTTGACGACATTGGATCCAGACTCGACCTTTGGGATTCAGACATTTCGACGAGGGACTATTKGGGCCTGTGCTGAACACTTGGTGTTGACGACATTCCCATCTTCCCCTCTTCTTCGTCTAACCCCCATCTCCTCCGTCTGTGTATGTTTGGGGCTGGCGCAGTCTTCCTGTGTGAAACGCCAGACCCCTTCACACCATGGGATGAGGATGATGATGTATGTTTGGGGCTGCATTGCAATATTGATTGTTCGGATCATTGGTATCTAAGTCTTCCGCTGTGCTATTTTATACTTTGTATTGAAAGGTCGGTTCTTGTTCTGGTCTGCACCTATACGGTATGCAACAATAGCCTCGGTACCACTCACAACGCAATGCAGTGCCACCTCAGCCAAAGTGCCACGTCAGCGTACTTTCATCATCATGCATACACCCGCTGTCGCCACAGCCTTCCAGCAGCCGGCCTCTCCACCTAGGCCCCGCTAATCAACCAGCGCAAAATGTCCTCACTGCACATGAAGCATCGTCAGCGCACCAAGTCACAATGTCGCCGGTGCCAGGTAAGCGGCGATCATCAACCAGCTCTGATACCAATTTGCAAGGAATATGAGTGTGAGCAATATACATAAAACCAAGTTGCGAAATCACACAGCTGAACAAGTAGTCGTGTCCCAAGCAGAGAGTACAAATGCACCAAGAAAACCATCCATATAGAGCAATACAATGAAGTAAAGAGCCAATGCCCACGCCCGTAGGCCACACCAACACAGTATCCAAAGTCGTTCTCTGCTGTCTGGCGCTCGGCGCCCAGCCTACTCTACCTGACTAGCCTACCTACAGCCGGTTCACGCAACAGGATCACTTCGACTCTCGAAGACCAATGTACATGACTGCCAACACCATCGCCGACCTCTCTTCATGTACCAGCTACGTATCTCGTCACCCTCAATCAGACCTTGATTACCCCACACAGCGCCTCCTTCCCTGAAGACCACCTGATCATCCGCTGTACCCCCTGGCGCCCAGCAGCCCGGCTATGGCCGCCTGCGCCCCGCTGCCCTGCAGCGCCCCTCTCACCACCTTGCGCTCCGTCAGCGCCCCTGGCATTAGCGCAGCATCAAGCAGAAGCGCAGCAGCACTTCCGCATTGCCAGCGCTGGCCAGTGTCCCTGGCCTGGGCTGCCTTACTTCCTTTATGGAAGTGGCAGCGTGCTTGATGCTGCGTCTGGCCTGGCTGGAAGCTTCCAGTAGCTTCCGGTTGGGCCTCAGACCCTGTGCCCAGGCCCGAGACTTACAGTTCAGGGCCTGGGCCCTTTTCAGTTGGGCACGGCCTGGCTGTTTGCTGTATCTGCGCAGGGCCCTCAGGTAGATGCGTCGGCAGTACTGCTTTTCCCAAGGCCGACGGCCTGCTTCTCAATGTATCGGCCCTGCTTTGGTGTGTATGTGCCCAGGCGCAACTTTCGTGGCCTGGGCCAACGGTACGACGCAGCTTAGTGAGGCTCGCGCGTTCACTCAACCAASTAACGCKCTGCAAGAGCCTGAATACCCACATATGGAAAGGTCRAAWTTTGGCCTGYGACGAATATTCAGGCCCGCCTTCACTTAGGGCGGGCACTTGGCTTGCTGGGGCCTTAGCCCAGAACATGCAATGTCTGATAGGGCCCCTGGAGGGCTCATTCCTCACAATACTCAGTTCCAGTGAATGACAAGATTAAGCTTTTGCAGCCCTCAACGTGCAATCCACGTTTGCTTGGACTCAGTACCAGTGAATGAAAATATTAAGCTTGCTGTCACTCTTGTGTCAAATTGCTTTGAGCTATCTCCCTTGGTTTATCTCAGGGAGGAAATCAGTTGAGAAATTCTTCTTGATACTTGTTTCACAGTCTTGTCTTATTGAAATCATCAGCTTGTCAAGGTCTTAAGACTTTGTGCGTCTGAAGTTTGAGCATTCAATCAGTTGTGCCACTCATCTGCCGTTTGAACAGGTTTCTGTTGCAAGTGGAAACACAGACCAAGAATTTGTTGTTGCAAAGCTCTACGCTGGAGATAGTTTTGGAGACATGGCACTTCTCATGGAGAACAGCAAAAGGTTCGCTATCTTTGTTTCCAATGCAGCCCTCGAAAGAGAAACAGGTTCATGGGATTTCCGTTTACAATCCACAACCCAACAATCTTTTTTGAAGTTTTTTCTTTTTGTTTTGTTTTTTGAATTGACACCATCTTTCCATCTCACGGTCCACACCAATATCTCACCAAAGCTGGGCACGCACAAGTGCACATGAGATATGAGCCAAAAATAGTCGCTGCAATGGAACTCATATGTACAAAATTTTCTTCGACAAGGGCCAGCTATGGCCGCCCAAGCATACACTCAGATATGGTCACTCTCTCCCTCAACCTCACTCCTTACTTCTCTCTCGGTGGTCTCTCTCTCTGATACCTCATCTTCTCTCCCACTGCCTCACACTCGACCTAGCTGTGTCTACTTGCTACAGGCGCACAGCACCGTTGACACTACCGAGTCACATAGCAGCACACTTCGGAACATCCCAGAATAGTGCAGCAGTGCTTGTGCATGAGCCAGGAGGTGAATATGGGCTGATGGCTTCCCAAGCCACAGTTTTGTACTTGCCGCTTCGCCTTCCGGACTGCAGCTACCGGTTATGGGTTATGATGATGGCGGTAGTGCTGGTTATGATGATGGCGGTGGTGTGCACTCGTTTTTGCTCTCTCCCTCTTGTCATTGTAGAGTGCTTTGCTGACCCTTGCTCCAGGACAACACCCAGTTATTGTAGAGGAGGTTATGTGTTGATTTTGATTAAGTG